CGTGAGTGCTGTCACTACCGACCCTGCAGTCCCTCGGAGGGCCCTGGTGCCACGCATCTGGATAACCCAGTAAAACCCAGTAGAGGATGCATGGGGCTATTTCACAGTCCTGAGAGGATGCTCCCACCAAGCTCGACTTCAGCAAACCATCCTCTGTGATGGGCTTGCCCCGGAGAGGCAGCTGTGGCAGACGGGCCGTGAAGGGGCTGCATTCTCTGGGATTCACCGCACTTGCGAGTCCCCTCTGGAGCAGCTGCTTGGGATGTCCCACCCAGGGGGCGGCTGTCCCCTGCCCAGGATGGGGAGGCAGAGCAGGGTGCCCTCAAAGTCTCGTGGCATCCGTGTCGGTCTCAGGGGCTGTCTCTGAGCACTGTACAGCGTTTGAGGATTGGCTTATAATCAGGTGTTCGCTTTACCTAAGGCTTGGATTTAAAGTCTTGCCTTAATTGATCTCAATTTTTAAAGGATCAAAAAAAAATGATGCTTATTCCAGGTTTGAGGGGGAAAAAAGAAAGATTGTGAGAAAGGAAAGAGAAGACCAAGAGTCACTCTTAATTTTGACTCATCTTCAGATTGTTCTCAGCAAGTGCATTACTTAATCGTTTGCCAATTAATTTTCCCATAATTTTATTAAAATCTTCCGTGTGCCTCCGAAGGGCTCTAGAGGGAGCTAAAAGCCTTTGAGAGGGAAATGATGCGTTGCATGAATCTGTCCGACCCTCAAGTACGCTGTTAAAATGAGGTGTAAAGCACATTCACCATATACTGGGAACAGAATAAAGGCATTTTTTACTCTCTGGAGGAACATTGTAAATCTTAGTTTCTATATTTAATCCACTTAAAATTTGGTTACAAGAATTCATATGATCATCAGTCACATGAAAGAAAAATCTGCCTCTTTTTCAGACTTATTTCCCAAAACACATATGTTTCATCAACAGCATGAGGTATGCGGCCAAGGAAAGGAAATCAGTGTCATGGTTATATTGGCTGAAAGGCTCAGAGCAGGATATTACCTTTCAAAATCTTTAATCCCCATCGCACGGCCACAGGGAATACCATGCTTTTAATTTGTCTTGGTCTATTTGAGTATATTTCGGGCCAAGCAGATCATGATAGTGCCCTAGGAGATTTTTTTTTAAAAAAAAATCCTGTTTTGAATATGAAGCTGCAAATATGGGTTCAGCGGCGGGAGTAAGCCCATTATCTCCATGAAAGACGGCAAGCTGTGGCTTTGCGCGAAGCCATGTTCTCATGTGCAGTCCTTGTAAGCTAATGCACGTCCATGAGAACTGTAGCGGGAAGTTGTTCTCCCCATGGGCACGTGCCATCACCCTGCAGACCTGTGGGCTGTGGGTTTTACACCCTCATCGGTGTTACGGCTGTTGCTGCAGTGGTTGAATTTCCCGTTGGTGTGCTGAGCCATGGTGTTTGCCTGTGTCAGGAAGCGAAGGGCTTTAGTCGATCAGGCTAAACCCCCCTAGCTCACTTATTCAAGTGATAGTGGGATTTTTTTTAATCCTAATTCTGGTTTTTCACGTTTTCCCATGGCTCAGTTCACTTTGCAGAATATAAATGTCATCCCCTTGTTCCTTAATGAACTCCACTGCATTGTTTTCTTCCGTTCTTGACCAAACGTAACAAATTGTGTCAAGAGTGGGAACGAATATGTGAGACGCTGAGGGAAAGGAAAGTTGGCCTTTGTCCCTGGCTTGCCTTTTCTGAAGTCCATGTGCAGGAACTGTCTTCTCGCTCTGGTGTGTTACTTTTGTCCTTACGCAGCTTTTAATCCCCGTGTAGAACCACCAAGTTTTGCTTTGGGAACCTTCGTGGGTTTCGGAACTAGTAATTGGGTTTGGGAGTTAATAATTCAGCTATAAATATACTTGTCATGTTATAGCTTGACATAGTAATATCTTGGCTCAGGGATACTTTTGTTCTGTCCAAAGATTATTTATTACATAAAATTCCCACAGACGCAAAATTAGAGGGCTCTCCTGGCTCCCTTCAGGTGCAAGTTACCTCCTTACTTTTTCTTCCAGCAGGTCTAAGTCTGTGCTGGTTTTGGTTCAAGGCCATTAGCAGTTATCTACCTTGCCCGATCCTAGGAGAGCCCCCCCGCTCGCTGCCTGCTGGCCTGGCGTGGGAGACCGCAGGATAACTTCTGTCCTTCCTGCCTGTGGGCGGTTGCATTACTCATTTCTTTCTCACTCTGATGGACAACCTTCTCAGAAGTCATCCATTTTCTTCATTTCTCGGAACTACCCAAAGCTTCAAAAGTTGCTGGTTGTTTCAACTGCCTCTGCTTTTAAGGCCTGAAAGCCCTCTAAACAGGGATAGTTTTCCAGAAAGTTTCCTGGAACTCAAAAGCTGCGTCACTACGTCCAGCCAAAAAGTGGAAGCAGTTCAGGTCCACCACTGAAAATGTGAACATGTGTTTGGCACAGCGTGCACACACACGTAAGTGAGGCCATAAACTTCATTACTGTAGGTCAGCTCTTGAGGTACAACTGCATCCAGATGACTGTTTAACTTTCTACTCTTGTTCTTTATTGTAAATTTTAAGACAAAACCAATACAAATGTGATAGTAAAACTTGTGTATTTAACAGGTTTCCCTCTACTGTCCAGCAAGAAACCCGGGCTACACTGGAAGGACAGCTCAGCCAGCTGTCAAAGCAGTTCTGGAGAGGATCACTCCCAAACACAGGTACGAAGGAGAATTGTGCAGAGCAAACAGAGTGTAACTACTCTTGGGGCATGTCTGCTCTTGGCAGGCTGTCTGAGCGTCCTCTGCTCTTTCAAATAGTTTTGGTCCTCACGGTAACCAGCTAAAGTTGGAGTTATGCCTGTGCTATATGTATGGAAGAGACTTTGATGCTCTGACTGGTTTAACCATTCCCAAATCATGTGGCTAAGTCACACTTGCTGTGGGACTCAGACCTTGATCCCACTCAGAGTTAGGCACTAATCTGTTGCATCAGTTAAGGTGGAGGCACCACCACCCTGCCCGTCCATCACAGCATGGGGCTCAGCTGCTGCTGGGATTTCCTTTGTGCCACAGTTTCTGCCCAAAGCGGAGGAAATCCCCCAAACCTCTGTCCCCCGGTGCTCCCGAGCTGGCTGTTGGTCTGCTCGTGTGCTTGTAGGGCTGGACGGAATTGTGTGGCGTGTTGGGCAAGGCCATGTGCCAGCAGCGGTGGGGTGAGAGAGTATCACATCTGCGTGGTTTAAATGCTGCTTGGTCGCTGTGCATCACTGGGCGAAAGGCAAGTGCCAGCACTGGCCTTGGAGAGCGAATCCAGGAGCTGAGGTAAGGGCTCGCATCGTGCCAGCCATAGGAAACCTGGCGTAGGAGGCTGGGGGATTTCAGGCCGTTACAGCCCTTAGACGTAGGTGTGCCCATGTCTCATGTTTACACCTTGCATCTGATGGGCAGAAGACTTCTTTATTTGCAGCAGGCCCTCGGCTCCACACTTCCCACAGCTCAGGAGCATCTTCAGCTTCCTTCAGGACCTAGGATTTCCATAGTATTTTCTGCCTTTTTTTTTTTTTTTTTTTTTTTTTAAGTCTGAGGAAGGGTGGGCCTGGGCCTGCTGTAAGTGTGGTGCTGCAGCAGGAGTCATGACCGACCGTCCCAAGCAAAGGGCAGCGTGTCCTCTGGACTCGGAGTGGGGACCAGCCCGTGTCCTCTGTGTCCTAGCCTGTTGTCCTCACCCTTGGGTTAAACATGATTAAAATTGCTTGACCTCAGGGTCTGTGTTAGAAAAAAATCAAGTCTTCCACGTCCACGGTGGTAGTTGAAATCCGGTCCAGGACAATAGGGCCAGGAAGGGAACGTCCCAGAGGAGCAGAGCTGCACAATGCTGCCTGGCCGTGCTGCCTGCAAGGAGAGGTGACTCCAGGCAGCTCCCACTTTAAAAGCAGCTCTTAGTGGCATTTTCTTTACTCTAAAGAGAGAGGATTAAGAGGGTGTTTATTTGTTTATTGGTGTTTCTCGTGTTTTTCTATCTGAGATCCTGGCCAATATGAATTTTAGTCATCAAATACTACTGTGAAACAGGGAGTGATCATTATTGCCTTACTTCTGATGCTTCTGGGAAATGAGAAGTCAGACAGATTAATGGCTTCACCCGTGTGAATTTGGGAATCTGGCACATAAGTGGAAGCAGGAATTAAATCTTCTCCCCAGCCGTTATCACATAGCACTGAGGATAAAATGCCTTCCTTTTCAAGAAGGAAAAAACCCTCTAGTTTTGGTCTGCTGGCTAGATAAGGCATTTATCCATGTTACTCTCTCCAGCAGAAGATTTTGGTGGCTAGATTAATGAATTTAAGTCTTCACTAAAGCAAATATAATCATAAGAGAGAACTAATTAAGTTGTTTAGAACTACCATGTTGCATTTTACAATCTTTTCTGGGTCATCTCATTCCTGTGTGCACTATGTAAGCATGCAATTATATAAAAGCAGTTGGAGAGCATAGAGGATGGTCTCTTGTGCTTGCTGGAAACTCTAAGGTGATACAACTGGAATGCACATGGGAGAACAGAGCAGATCTACTTTTGTTTATTTTCCTGTAGGTAGGACTGTTTCTTTCTAAGGAAAGTATTAAAGGTGATTCATAGAGATATGAGAGATTCTTAGCATGAATAACATTATTTTTAGACTATTAAAATTTCCAATAGTATTAGATCTCTACTCCTAGAGAAATATTAGCCCTTTAGGGGAAGAAAGTTTTTATTCTTATTGTATTATCGTTTACATATGTATGTGTGTATATATAAATTAGATATTATGTTTATTAGTAATGTGTTAAGATTAAAATTTATTAAAATATTATATGAAATGAAAGATACACTAAACTGTATTTTTCTACCCCTAAAATATCTTTTTTCATGCACTTCACAGTTGGCTTCTTACAAGAAACCACCAGAAGTTACAAGAGGACATTTCAAACCCTACAGCCCAGTATTTCAAAGAAAAGAAAAAGACAGAGAGATGCCTGAAGACATCTGTCTCTATGTGCCTCATTGTCCTCTTCAGAGCAGCACAAGAGGTTCTTCATGGACCCCTCCTGCGAATGGGACACTGGCTGCTGATTTTTCTGAGCCTGAAGATATAGATAGTAACATTGGGACATACACAGCCCAGAGCTGGAAAGAAAAAACCCAGAAATATATGTCTGAACCAGAAGATTTTAATAGGAATACAAAAGTACTGTCATCTCTGGATTTGAAAGAGAAAGATGGCATAAATCCAAGGCACCCAGAAGACAAGCTTGAACAAGGATTAAAGGAGGCAAAAAAGAGGCCGGTGCTTTGTACTCAACAGCGACCCTTGTCGTACGATTCAAACAGGACGAACTTAGGTGGAACCAGTCCAGGGTATCGAAACAAAGGAGCACTGTGGGCTTCAGAGGAGGATGCTGACTGGAGAAAAGATGTGTTCAAACTATCTGTTTGTCCCATGCCTCACTTATTTGCAGATGATGCTCCATCAGCTTTGCCAGTTGACATGAAAGATGCTCTGAGGCGTCCAGATGCAGTTGCCAGGGAGCACGCAGCTGGCCGACCGAAATCACCACTGAGGCTCATAGCCAATGCCATCAAAAGGTCCATTCTGGAGCCTCTAACCTCATCTCCAGAAGGACTAAAGCAGGACTCGGACAGCAAAGTCAAAGCCTCTTCAGAGCAAGCTTTCTTCAGCTTCCCCAGTACTCCTGGCTGTTCCCTAAGCCAAAGGAACAGTAACAGAGCAAATAACACTCAGCCACAGGACCTTAAAGTAGGGGAGTGGGCAGGAGAATATTTAGGAAATGGGAGCCCTTTCTCAAATCCATCTAACTATTCTGTAGGTTCTGAAGAGAGATCTCTAAGGGATTACAGTGAGGAGGTATCCTTCCCAGTCTACAGTCCTCACACCAGGCCTTCCAAGACAACCAGTATACCTCAGAAATCATCTTGCACTAGGATGGAGGATGTCCCAGGACTCCTAGAAAAGTTTAGCTTTAAAGAGACTCCTCTACGGACTCCCATGGATGACATGCATATCCGCAATGAAAAGTACCTCCTTCTTTCATCTCCAGAGCCCAAGAACACCTCCAAGGACAATCTAGATGACTCTGCCCAGAAGGGTAGTCTTGGGTCACTCTTCGATAGACTGAGAAGTAAAGTTCGTGACAGAGAAGGGAATTCCTTTGTGTCATCTCTGCCTTTCATGAAGGACCGTTCTCCAGAAGACAGGCTGTGTTATCCTTCCACAGGTGAGGACTTGAATGGAATTATTTTTTTAATTATTATTAATCATTATTATTACTATTATATTAAGTAATAGCACTTAACATTTAAAAGACCTGTGTGTGATCACGCAAACACATATCTGTTGTATGTTATGTTTAATTTATAGTTACTTTCTACATAGGAAGACTTCATAAATATATTTTTTGGTTAAGGTTCAGGAGTTTCTTCAGTTTAAAGGAGGAGAGCGGATTTGCAAGCAGAGCGCAGCTCGTTGAACTGTTTGCTCTGCTGCTCGCTGCTGTTCCAATGTGTTTGGGCCAGAAAAATGTACTCACCGAGGTGGAAGGAGTGGTGGGACAGAGCGGGATGCTGTGCACAACGGCTGCTGCTGTGACATTGAGCGTGTTGTGGAAGGGGGAGTACAGCGGGCAAGCAGAAGGCCGAGCGCCGAAAACTCCGGCGCAGTGTAGAGTACGTTTGCTGCCCTTTCCATGAGGAGCTCGGAGACTGAGGCAATACAGTGGCAACAGCAAGGAGCTTTGCTCTGTGCATCTGCTTTCTCAGCAGGTGTCTCTTCAGCTCTGTCTGCTGTCGTAGGTGACCGAACTGTAGACATATTTTTGGGAGCTTTGTGGTGTCATTAATATCCCCTTGTTCTTTTATTTGAGAGGAGATAGCACCTTATTGACCTACTCTGACCTATTTGTGAGTCTGTTTGGGCAGTGATTAAAAGGCATCAATTTTCATTTTTGCTTGCAAGAACAAGGTTACTATTAAAATTGCAGATGAGTCTAAGAAATATGGATGTCAGACAAAGAGCAACCTGAGTAATCTGAACATAGGGTCACAAAGACTTAAGTACAGCACAGTTTCAGGTATAAAATATGATGTATGAGAGCTGCACCCACCTGTCTTTCTCCACGATCTATCTTTCCACTAGCCCATTGCAGAAAGTCACAGTTAAATAACTCAAAACCTTATTGATTTTTATTGGCATACCCATTTGTTTCTTATCTTTCTTAAATTGCAACCCAAACTGTAACCCCCAAATTGCTGCTATGCTACAGTACTAAAGTAACGATCTGCATGTAAAATGTGAAGTCACTGAAATGCTCCTAGTGAGCTGCCAGATCCTTTTTGCATCCTTTCTGCTTCAGAAGTACTGCATACTGTGAGAAAGGTATACAGTAGAAATGAGACTTGATCCAAAATTCATTCAAATTGATAGACTAACTCCTGCTCTCGTTCCTGAATTTTTGGGCTGGATTCTTGGAGCATCTTTTATCTAACAGCTCGCAAAACCAGGCATCGCCATTGAGGCAGAGGATGCTAAGGACTGCGCTGAAGCCACAGAGAGTCGCTGGTGGTCACGCTTCTCACGCTGTGGTCTCAAACGGGCTTTGAGTCAGGCTTTGTCTGACTCTATACCTTGTCATCACCCATCAACCAAAGCCAAGCTGACTTGCGCTTAACTAGACGTAATGCAATAATTAGTATGTTGTGTTCCTATTAAAATGGGAAAAGTTCTTGTCAGGTTTGAATAATACTATATTTTAAATATTTTGGAAAAACATGTTGGTTGAATATGTGTTGCGTTCCTCTGCTGTGCAAGCTAAAAGAGGCATTATTAAATTATTATATTTATTGAACATAGGCATTGTAAAGTCTGTTCAGAAGAAAGAAATGCAGCTTTGATGTAGCCATTCGCCCAATAATCTGTCTTTTTCAACACTGCAGCTCCCTGAACTTTTTCAAACATTCATATCTGAGTAAATCAAACTGGTAAAAAGCCAAGTCCTGCTTGGCTCTCTCAAATGGCATTTCTGTCTCACATTGGCACTTGTCTCAGGCCCAGGCTTGGCAAACTTCAGTCATGAACTGATGATGAGCTTTAGCCTACATCACATGTTATTTTTTTTATCTCTCTTGAAATTTACCATGGATCTCAGAAAGAAAATCTTTAAAGAAAAAAAATACTCCCAGCACTTTGCAGAAACCAATTTAATGAGGCTCTTTCTCATTCTCCTTTTGGCTCTTTGCAGTAGGGCTTTTCTATCCCATTTGAGGCCAGACAAACTTGTTCTGTGCAAGTACGGCTGCTCTCATGTTATGCCGGTGTTTTCTTCCTCAATGGGCTGTTGGCTTGTGGAGCCGAAGAACGGTGATAAAAGGCCATGGGCTTGATGAGACTGGGCAAGCTCATTGAAGAGAAATCCACTGAGGAGTAACCAAATGCTTAGGAACCACTTCCAATTTAGAAAGCTCCTGAACTGAAAAAACATTTGGAGGCTGGGCGAGTGTCAAGGGGAGGAATCACTGGACTGCCCAGTGTCTACAGCGTTCCTTTAGACATCCACTGCTGGAGACAGACTAGCAGGACCTTCAGTCTCACCCTACGCAACTACTTCTATGTTATGTTGCTCATCTTTTCCTACACACCTTATCTTAGTTACTTCATCTGCAAATACATGTCCAGATGTCTTTCCTATGCTGATGACTTCTGTGTTTCAGACCTAGGTGTCTGTCCAAACTAAAACTGTATTCTGTCCTTCTGTCATCTCCTGCCAAGTGTTCAGCCACCAGCTGAAGCTCAGCATAAGGAAGCAGAGATCTTAATTACTCATCAGCTGGATTGCCTGTCACTCAAACTTACACCTGCAGTTACACCTCCCATATGGGTCATTCCAGTTGCTGATATCCAGACCAGGTCTAAAGGCTTTCTGGCTAACACTTTCTTTCTGTTTTATAAGAGCTGTTCCTCAGGGCCACTTGGAAATTTTGGGCTGTGCGACGATCTGGCTGCACAGACAACCTGTGCGGGACCTAGGACAAATCTTACTGAAGTAATGGGGGTTTGTGCACTGATTTCAGTAAGAGATTGTTTTTTTTAAAAAAGTAGAATCCCATCAAAGTTTGCCTGTAGAATATACAAATGTCCCCAAATAGCCACACTGCAATGTCTAGGTGCAATTCCAGATTTTTGATTTGCTGCACAAATATCTTTGAGGCCTTTGTCCTTTGATTGCTTCTTTGGGTCCTAACCCACAGTTTAAAAAGGAAAGAAACCCAAAACTTGATCAATAAAATCTATCAATCAGATAGCTAACTGATCTCTCCTAAGCCTACTTGCCCTTTTGAAATTAAAAAAAATACCAAAGTGCTATGTTAGTTATAGATAGTAAAAATCATTAATACCACTGAAAACCAATAGTAAACAGAGAGCTAAGCCAGGTTATATGAGAAACTTGCAGTCAGCAGAGTGTTTGCAATGAGATGCAGTAGTGGGTCCAGGGTTTAGGTTACTTTTGGCTTATGCGCAGACCTGCTGAAGACCAGCCCCCAAAGGTGGTTGGTTATTGGCAGGCATCTGGGACTCGGGAGTTGCTTCTTGATAGTGATGGAGATGTGGGAGGAATATTTCTGTCCCTGATGGAGTAGGAATCATGTGAAAACATCCTTAGATGAGAGTTGTTCTAACTCAGTTTGTGACTGTGTACTGTTTACATGTCTCACTTCATTATGCAGGACTACCAGGTCAGCTGATGAGAAAATTAGACGTGTTATGAACCCACTTTGCTGGTTTCGTGCACTTTTAGATTTAAAAAGGATTGCTGGCAATCTACTGTGAGGTAGAAATCAAGAATAGATTAATAGAGATTTCAGAAGTATTTGTTCATTTCTCCTTTATAATTAAGAACTAAAGCTGTTGTTGACCGTTCCTAGTGATCTGAAGTTGTATTAGCTGTGGAGGAAAAGTTCTATTATAGCACGTTATTCTGGAAGTTAGGGAGACGCTACAGTACTTAAGAAATAGGTAATAAATAACTCCCATTTTGAAGGAATGAGATGGCTGGAAAGAGAAAACCCAAGTCTAGAAGAGTTGAGTTAATATTTGGAAAAACACATATGTTTTTGAGATCTTTTCTGTACCTATTGAGCTTTAAGACTTGGCATATTTGGAGCAGAAAAATTATTATTACCTAACTTTACTATTGTAGTTCTAAGTTTCAAATTTAAATGACCCAGTAAGTGTAAAAGTCCCTAAGTTTTTAACATTTTTTTGTGTTAACTCTTTGTCCAGATCCTCAGAGCTGGCAGCTAAATTCTGCTTATCCCACTCCTTTGGAGATGGGAAAGATTAATGTTCCGTCATCTATAGTAGAACATATAGATGCTGTAATACAGAATAGTGTTGGGTTTGTGATTGTGGGGTGGTAGTGGTGTTGGGTTTTGTTGTTTGGGTGGTGGTTTTTTGGTTTTGTTTTTTTCAAAAATAGAATAAACTTGTGGTATTTTTCTCTAGCTTTGCATAAAGCAAATTTATTCAGTGAGGTAATTTCTTACTATGCTTGTTATAGTTGTCTTGAAGTTGAAATTAGCTTCTGGGGTACATTTTAGAGCATATTTCTGGCCTCTTCCACAAAGAAATAGCCAAAAATAGTTGAGCAGAGCACCGAGTGGCTGCCCTTTTAATGTTGAAAGAAATGTACTCTCCCACTGTTTCTATATCCCTGAAATGCGGCAGAACCACGCATCTGGGAGCCAAAAACCTATATTCTCACCCCAATTCTGTCACTCTTTGTTTTGTGTTTCTGGGCACCTCCTTGGAGCAACCCATGCTTCAATTATCCACATTATATTAGCAGAGAACATTAGTGCTGTGAAATGTATAAGCAATAAATGTGACAGAGACCATAACTGTAAACGTGCACAGGTAGATTCATCAGATGCCCCATCACTGACTGGTTTCACGTGGTCCTTCATCCTGTAGGCTTCTTGAGTGGACACGATGAAGGATGCTGATGATCACAGTCGGGTGGCTGTTGTCACACAGGGCTGCGGGCACCACATCCCTAGAAAGGCTGAGCTGGTTTGGATCAATCTGAATGGCTTTTCTCTGCAGAGCAAGGTGGCTCTCCAGAGCAGATAGGCATTGGGAGGACTGTGGAGTTTACAAATCTATTCCATCAGCTTCCTTGTGCTCATGAGATGGTCCTTGGGGAAGTCATTGACCCCCTTTCTGTCCCAGGAAGGCGAACAGCCCCCGAGTCACACGGCCAAGGAGGAGACAGGTGCCCTTGTGTTACAGCAAGCTGCTTTTCCTCTAGACCTTGTAATGCTTTTTAAATTATTGATACCACTCCAAGAGAAGGACACGGGGAAGCAGTCACTTATTCCCACAGCTGAGAGAAGAAAGGGAGCGTGTAATTGCTTGTGTTTCCAGCCCTGCCAGGCTGTAAGGTTTTTGCCGCTTGCATATTATGGAATTTGATTCCACCAGCGGCCTGTCTGCAGGGCAGTTACTGCAAACTTTTGATTGCACAGTGAAAAGCAAGGTAGGAGAGTTTACTCCGCAAAAGAAACAGTAACTGTGATACCCTCGTGCCTTCCTCCATCTCGTGCACTGGGAAGGGCTTTACAGCCGAGTGTCCCTGCCAGGGGCAGAGCTGGATTTGCACTCTCGTCCGCAGAGCGTGGGGCAGTGTGTGGCACCGGTGTGACCCCAGCAATTGAGAGCCACGGGACAGTCCCCGGCAGGTCAGCGAGCAGGAGCTGTGTCCCCACTCCAAGTGTGGTGAGGCAGAGAGGTGTGGGGTGGCAGCCTGGGCGATTCCAGAGCACAGGATTCACCTGGAAGCTGGAGACCCACCTGGCATTTTGGGCAGAGCTCTTGCTGCCCAAGGACCTGTCCTGCAAAACCCAGGTCTGCTCCACCGGACCCTCTGAGCCTGCAGCTTCACTGACACAAGGACCGGGTGCTTCTAAAATTGCGATTGCGGAGAAAAATCAGAATTTCTGCCTCAAATGACTTGGATTTGTTTTCATTGCTTTACCACCTGGGATGAATGTGTTTCATGGACCCTGATTTTAAATTAGGTTTTGAGACAGAAGACCTACTTCAGGACTGGGATCCAGGACAAGGCACAGAAGAAACATTTACACTGGGAGAATGGGAAGTGATTTTAATGTGAATACAACTTGCACGTAGAAAGCCAACTGTTACCTCGCAGATACAAAGAAAAACGGCACTGTTAGCTTTAAATAACGTACGTTTCCAAGATGTTGCCCAGCTGTTAATCATTAACCCTATAGCAGGTTGAAGGGTAGAGACAGATGTTCCAAAAGCGGTTTTATTTTCTGAAATAAAGAAAATGAAGCTATGAATTAGACAAATTAAAAAGAAATTCAAATATTTACACCCAGTTGAAACAAGATGCTGGAAAAACAGGCATGATAAAATTGCTGCAATTAAATGTAATTTAATTTATAATTCTGAAAGCATGCTTCTTCCAAAGGCAGCCTGTGAGTTTTCCTTATGGAGTGCATTGTTGTGATGTATGGATTTTCCTGACTTATTATGGCATTTTAATCAACAGTTCAATGATGTGATAATATTCCTAAAGCAGAAAAATAAGTGACGTTTGTTTAGACATAATTAATGAAATATTTATGTTGCATGAGGCTGTGTGATAAAGCCTTGTTCTCTTAGTCCATTTGCTTCTGATTACATTTGTGATTTTTTTATATGACCAGACATTCTGACGCCAACTATTTTACACTGAGCAGATGTCATGTAGTAAAAATGGGTGCCAGATGCTACAAGCCACATAAGGGTAATTTGTTTAAGAGCTGGCTCAGACTTTTTGCATTCAATTACACTGTATAGTAAGCCTTATACAATCATTTGGGTAATATGGCTAACTTCAGATATACATTTTAATGAATGTTGAGTGCGTTCAGAATAGCATGCTACATGCGGGGTGCTCAAGGAATTAATTTATTTGTACGTCATACCTGGAAAAAAAAAATCAAATATACCCAGACAGAGTTTTTTCACAGGGATCAAAAATTTAATTAATGCTGTCAGCCAAATTTCCAAATTGCTTTAGGTGCTGCTGATTAGAACTCAGGGCAGGTGCAAAGTGTCTGTTTAAGTTAAAGAACAGTATTTTTTTGCTTCACTACTTTGTTCCTGCATTTTAGGATGTGAACGCCTACCTGTCAGAAAACAAGCTACCGAGTATTTTACGTCTTCCTCCGATGATGAATTTCAATCCCAGCCTTCATTAACACACAAGGTAACTTTGACTTGGAAACAGAAAGATATTTCCTCAGTTGGACTGCATTTAAGATTTATCATATGACTTTGATCTAAAACACACCATAGTCTCTCAAAGTGGGGATGGGAATGCTTTATCAGTGGAGTTTGTGTCATGGGGAGAAACATGAATTTTAAAACTCTTACAGACAGAAGAAAATCAAAATTTCTGTTTCCTCTTTGGATCTTTAATTCCCCCAGGTTACACCAGCGTTGACAGAGAAGGTCTTAATTTGACAAGCAGACATGTTTCACTGAAACCACTTTGAAGCTCCATTCTTAAGTGGCCTTAATATGTAGCCCAACAAGCAAACTATTGAAAAAATTAAACCAAACAGATGTAGGTTTCCCTTGGGGAAATACAACTTCATTTGAGAGGCGCTACAGGCAGATTGCATGGAAAACGCTGTGTTTATCCTAATCAACATGGCTGCATGAGCCACAAAGTTGTGCCCAGACCCTGTACACCAAAAGCCACGGGGGTCTCTGAGCCCTAACGCAGTTCCTGTGCCTTGCAGGAGTCATGGGGTTAAAGCACCAGTGAACTCTTGATACCCAGCTCTGATTTGAAGAAACAGAGCTTTTATTGCCTGCATAGCTCATCAGAAATGTGTTTACCTCTTTCCTGTGGAGGGAATATCAGTAAGTGGAATTAATAGTATGAGGTGGCCTTTTGATTTGTTGCCTTTGCGGGGGTACAGAAAGCAAAGCAAGAGGCTGCCCAGTACACTGAAAAAACAGCCGAGCTGAAAGCTAAGTGGGACTTTGGATGGAAACCCAGTTGCAAAGCTCCAGAGGAACTGAAGTGCCACGAGGCAGAAATGCAGCAATGTGTGGTGGCACGTCCCACCGGTGTCTGTGTCAGGATGCACTGAGATGTCAGAATTCATCGTTCACCTTTCCTATTACAGGAAAGACAATCTATAGTAAGATAATGTTATGATGAAATAAATAAAGTTTAAACAAAATTGAGAAAAAATGGGAGATGTGGGAGAGAACTGTAGAGGAGCGACTCCCAGCAGGTCAGGCAGCCGCAGGAGCAGGCAGCACTGCTGGGGCAGCTGCCAGAAATGGGGTGAATGAGCAGCTGTTGCACACGGGCATTAGCAATGACTCAGTTTTGATGCACATTCTGTGCTCGGCTTGTTTCTCTCAGCTATCTCCTAGCACCTCTTTTCATGCCAGCTCTGGCTGCTATTTTGCCAGTACCACCATTTTTCTCTGGCAAAACTCGGTGGGAAAAAATTTAGCTGCTTCTTGCCTTGTTAGTTTTCTAATTGTCTTGTCTACGGTGCTCATATATTCTGTCTCCTCTGAAATGGGAAAGCCACAGCCTTGAAGCCCTTCCAGATAGCTTGGGTCAAGAGCAAGACGGAGCAAGCGCAGGCGATGCCCTCGGGCAGCCCTGCCTGTGCTGCCCCACTTTCCGGCAGCAGCGACAGGTGCCCCAGGGCAAGGCAAAACACCTCTGTAAGGCAGCAGAGAAACAGCACTGGGAAGGTTTCGCAGGGTTTCAGGTAATGCCCTGTGATGGCTGTTTCCTTTGGATACATCTCTCTTACCGTGTTACAAGCGATCCAAAGTGAATTTTACTGCTTAGCAGCTACAGCAATAGAAACGGGTTGAGTTTCCTTAAACTGGTGGTTCCCACCCCCTGTGCCTGGCTTCTTCCCTGATCATGGGGATGTCTGCAGAAGCCATGTATAGTGGTATGTTGTATATAGTCAACTTTGTGATTCAGACATTTTTTTATTGATAGACACAATTCACACTCTCTTAGGATTGCAGTAAGAGCCTGTAATCATTTACAGTCAATGTAGACAAATATATGAAAATACTCCCACGTGAATATTTTCATTTCGGTAAGGGTTGCCCCAAGCATCCTGCAGTAGCTCACCCCGCTTTGAGCAGGGAGTTGGGTTAGACGGTCTCCAGAGGTGTCTCCCCAATCTCAACGACTCTCTGATTCTGCGGAAGGTTTGAGAAAACCTGTAATGGCATACTTATGCTTTGATTGCATTTCTCTCTCTCTCTCTCTCTTTTGTAGGCAAAAAGGACTCTCAGAAGGAGAAGGAAGCTCGAGAAGGAGACAAAGCAATTAATTAAACAAGAGGAGCTGAAGAGGCTTCACAAAGCACAGGTGAAAACATAGCTCACAGATGTCCCATTTGTCTCCCAAGAGTGACTAGCGAGGCCGGGGGGTACCCAGTGTGGGCTCTGCACCTCCCCGCGCTGTGGCCCGCTGCCTTCTGTGTTGAAAACCCCCAAAACATCCAGAGCAGGAAGATGTATGTGGCAGGGCCTTGCATCTCTATATGTGACAACTCCACGTGTGCCCCAGGAGATCATCACAATTTCGTAATTGTGTATGAAGAACAAGAGAGAATAGTGACTGGCAAAAAGAGAAGACGACACTGAAGAGGGAAAGAGATAGAAAGGGGAAATCATATCAGCCCCTGAGAATGAAAGAAACTCAGCTGTTACCCCTACGTACTACAGGGGGGTACAAAAATGCAGTGATGGGTTTTGTTCTCTCTCTGCCATAACAGTGAAAGTCAACCGTTTTCTTTCTTAATGATGGAAAGTCACTTCACTTTATACAGGTCCAGCTCTTTGGAAAATGCTGGAAGAGTTCTGGACTCTGCTCATCTTTTGTTGTTTCCAATTACAGCTCAAAGATTTGGGAAGGCACTTCTGCATGGCTTGATCTCAGACTGTGTTCTCTCAGGTGTCAGAATTTTCAGGTTTATCTCTTTGGCTTACACATCTCTAGGCATACACACACGCACAGATTAATGGCTTATTCTGCCATTAGCATTTTTGTGTGTGTGTCTGTACTGTAGCATAGGGCAGAGAAACGTGAGCTAGATTTAATCTCATTAATTCAGGTTATAATGGTAATCAAGATATGGTAGTGGGGAGAGCAGGCTTTTTGAAGGCAGAGTTCTCCATCATCTTCTGTTGTATTACTACAGCAGGTGGGTGGTTTTGGATGGAGCTTCCGCTTAGTATTTCTGTACCAATACTAAATTCAAAAAAGAAAATTAATAAGTTGTTTTTCAGATGTGAATCTGAAATCTCTGTTTTTGTAGACATCACTGCTTTTGCAAAATGTATAACTGAAAAGGAGAGAAATTTTGTGTTTGAACCAGACAGTGGATTTTAGAAAATGCTGGTATCTAGCTGTTACTATAAAATCCATGACAGGGAAAAAAACCCATGGGAAAGAAGAACAGTACCTTATTTAATCCAAAGTAAGAGCAACAATGTTATAGTTTTTATCTGAGAATTGTAAAGTATCTCAAGGTAAAAGTAGATGTGTACGTGCCTTCTTTTCTTTTACTGCTCTGTCAAACTAACCCAGTCCAAACTTTTTTAACCATCTTTCATGTTTGTTAGGCTGTTCCTGAGGGCTTGGCTTGGTAAGCCCTCACATAGCCTGAAATGGGAACTGCTGAGCATCTCTCTTTGACAATTCAACCTGTTAAGGTGTTGCATGCCTATTATCCACAAGGAACCTCTGAAATTCCCATTGAAAAGGGGATGGACCAGTGAATGTACAAGTCCTTCCTGAAGTGCCACTGAATTATCACTTCTTAGCTGTTAGACCCTTTCCTCCCTGCGTCAAAAGCTTGTAAACTATAAAAGCAAAACAAACAACAAAACCCCTTGGACAACAAAATAGCTAGTAAAGCTTTCTACCTGTAAACCTTCAATATTTACATGAGCTTTATTCATGTAGCATCTCAGAATATGTACCTCTGAATGTGTAAGGTATTGACTTTTCACACCCTGTAGGACACAGAAGCATTATGGTCTCTGTTTTACAGCGGGAGAGCTAAGGTTCAGAAAAACTGAGGTTCTTTTAGTACCTATGATACGTACCCACATAAAAATGTGGATAGATACTTAGTGGAATTATTAAATTGCTTATGCGCCTAATACGCTTTTGCACATCCCGTGACTCCTCGAGACCTTTTCAAGCTGTTTCTCAAACCACCATCTTTTGTCTCTGAATTTTTAAGCTATGTTTGTAGCTTTTATATCACAATATACAATCTTGCAGGCAATCCAGCGCCAACTGGAAGAATTGGAGGAAAGACAAAAAGCTCTGGAGATTTTTGGTGTCAAACTGGAGAGAGAACTAAGAGGAGAATCAGGTAAATGAAGCAGTGTTTGTTTGTTTGGTGATTATTTATTTTTTTTTTAATCTTTTTCAAAGCGGAGGGGTTTTAATGATGGTCATAGAAGTAGAGTTCGGTGCAAAATCTGAAACGAAACGAGAAAAATCATTGTCTACCCTTTTCCTCAAACTGTTAGCTCAAGCACTTTTTAGGCTGAATGCTATTAATTCTCTATTGGTTAGCAGATTTGGAATTATTTGCCTTGCTATTGAACCTGAATCTACATTTCCGCCCCCCTCCCCCCCATTTTTAAAAATCCCATCCTGAGCTTCATTTTGTCTTCTGGAGGGAACCAGCGAGGTTTCCAGGAGCTGTATCTCAGTTACCAAGCCAGCAGCAGCCCGTGCCTAGTAACAGAGTCCTTAATGACTTCTCCCAGAGTGTGAAATGCCATTAATACAATTAGAGCCAGTGGCCATGCTATAGCAACAGCAGCATGCAGGCACGGAGACCCGAACCGCACAGCTTTCCCCCAGACAGGTGGAAGATAACGGGGATGTTGTCCTGGCCCCAGTCGGTGGCGAGGTGTTCACTCACCCGAATGAGCAGTCCCAAGCACCCAGGACTGCGGTGTCCTCCCACCAGCCCAGCCTTACCAGTGCTCCCCAGCGTGCGTGGGGTGAAGCTGGGGAGACCTCCCACATATGAACGGGAATCCGGGGGCTCTTGCCAGGCACAAAACAGGGAAGGGAGTGTGAACCGTGCACAGAAGGCACTTGAGGGGGCTGCGGTTCTGTGCTGAAAGGGCTCTGGGGAGCCGACAGCCCGATTGCAAACGTGTCTCTACCTCCGTTTTAGAAAGCTGAACCTCATGCTTTCGTGACAGGCAGTTGCACAATGCTGAAAACCTAGATATGTTTTGTCACCTGATCTTGTTGTTGCCTTAGCTAGGCAACTGGCAAAATCTCTACATGCTGGCTTTTTAATGCCATATTTCGTAGCAGTTGTCACCCCTATTCTAACACTGAACTAATCTGTTCACCAAGAGAGTGTTTGTCCAACCTTTTATATTTATTAACTAATTTCCTATAATTGATAGTGCCAACCTATTTCAAATGTTATTTTAAAGGCTGGCATCTTTTTTTTTTTCTTAAATGAAAACATAACTGTTTACCAAATGGCATCCACCTTACCGTATATGAGACAGTCTGCTAAAAAAGACTTTGAGGATTTGGAGTGTTAGCTTTTTTCTTTACTGCTGATTTGTATAAGGGTGGATGTTTTTTGGAAACATCAAAAATACAGAAGGACAAGAGACTTCTAGGTCTTGGGATAGACGCTGAATACCAGGATAAATGGCCTAGAGCCACCTCTTGTTTTTGCTGTTTTGACAATCACATTTCCTAAAGAAGGCTGTCTGCCAACAGATTGATGCTTTTCATTCTCTTCCCATCCTTAGTAATTGGATTGCCCTCATTAAGGTGAAAGTACTATTTTTTTTTCCTCCCTGTTGATTGTTTGTGTGTAGGTGGCCAGTTACAAATAGGGCAGATACTGAAACGTAGGATGTTACTGTGTCTTAATAACTCTTCTGGTGCAAAAGCATGAAGCCATAAGTTTCCCAAACAAAACGTGAGTGCTTTGTTGCTTGTAATAACATACATGTAATGATGCAGGAATCGGTGAGTTTAATATTCTGTTCAACCGTCTTAAAAATAATGGGCATTATTGTTTAATGAATGACCAGTGTTTATTAGGTTAAGTTGTATTTAAGCAGGTCTGCGCTTATGCAATTCAAGTGATTTAATAGGTATTATTAAGGTAATTAGAAAACGATCACAGTTCAGCAATAATATTGAGCTGCAAAGGTTGTGAATAACCAAATTTAGAGACAGGCCTGCAAACACTAGTCTTCAGTGACATTTACGCAACTCTCCTTTAATAATTCTGTAAGCCCGGGATGAATGGCCCTTTGTTAGGGGGAGTTATTCATTAGCTCCTCAACTGAATTAGAAAAGAACATGCGTGGGTGTGAAACAACTGCCATGAAGACTGATGAGCAAAATGAGGCTTTGATGATCTTCTAATTGTAGTGACAACAATTCATGCATTAAAAAAAAAAAAAAATCAGTCCTATGAATAATTTTTCATGCCCCTTATTCCCTTTATTCTGGTTCTAAATACCAAATAATAAATCACTGATGTACCGTCACTTTGTTTTCCACTGACATTTGTGGAGGCTTATGGAGATCTTCTGCCTACAAGAAAATACAGAAATAAAAATCTCGAAACACGTTTTCCACTGAAATTAGCATAACCGATCAGTTGACTAAACAAATCATGAAGAATGATGGTAAAGAAAAAAGTCTGTGTTGAGAGAATGTTAAGAAATCTTTCCGTGTTTTGGAAGGTAAACAAATATCTGCATGTGTTGCAGCTAGTTTTTTATTTCAGAAGGAGCATACCCAAGGCTTCTCAGAACTTTCCACAGGGTCAAAAGAGATCTGCTGAAAAGCTGTAGGAATAAGGAATATGAGGTTTAGCTGGTCCTAAAAAGGCACAAACTGGCCGAGTCCCCTTTGCTGCGTGACTGCTGTACGGATGGACAGTGTAACGTCACTGGAGAACAGAAGGTTGAGGTTTTGAGAAGAGTGTTCAGTAAATGCTCCTCTGTCGTTCCCTCAAAACTGATTAATATAGACATAGCCATGATATAATTAGAAGAATATCTGACTTTCAAATGGGATCCAGGTTAAAGGAGACTTGGGTAAACCAGAAGGAAAGTTTTGCTTTAGCAATGCAGTAAGAAAAAGCCAGCATGGCTCGCAGAACAAGCACACAAACTGTTTTCCCTCTAACCTTTAAAAACATCTGTCGTACTGTCTTATGCAAAAGACTTCGCTGGCTTGTTCTGCCTTTGGAAGGTATAAAGCTGTCCATAAGACTTAAATAACTATTAACATTATCATTAACAGACTTTTGAAAAGCTCAGGGAAAAAAATGCCCCTGGGGACAGTTGGGGGGGGGCATTCTGTGGGATGGAGGAGGAAGAAAAACAAGGGCTGTTTTTATTTCAGCTTGCACTGAGGATTTTGCAAAAATGAGTGGCATTTTTGCAAAGTGCGTTAGTCTCTGCTTACCTCAATCAACCTATAATACACAGTCTTTTATTACAGATAGAGAGATTTTAAAGTGCAAAGAGGAAATGTTTAAAAAAAAGAATATTTTTGCCTAATCAAGAAAACAGCAAAAAGGCAACAGTAACCCTCTGTATGTGTGCAGGACACACGCATACCTGCAATTGCAATGTTTTTACTAACAGTAAGATAGATCAAATTTTGGTGATAATTTCTGATGGTGGCATACGAAGAACTTAAGGCTCAATGCTAATGCTGCATCCCTGCATTGGATCTGTGAGAAGCCACTGTTGGCACGTCCCAGCAAGAACTGCTCCAGCAGTCAGTCGGAGAAGGCATCTTTTATCACCACTTCCTGACCTGGAAGATCCCACAGGAACACATGTGTTTTAATGGAATCAGGCAGAAATCAAACCAATGTTGCTCTGCCCTCTCCTGCTGCTTTATCCTCCCGTTTTATGGTAGCTTCAGATTGGGGTCAAATCCTGACGGGAAATCACAGAATCCCATCCTTGGTGTGAGGGCCTGTGCGGTTCCTCCGATGCTGGCAGGAGGTGACCTGGGCTCTCTGGGATAACAGTGCCTGGTGAGGGCACGCAAATGGGCTGGTGATCCCAAAACACCCAACAATTTCCCTCCTGCTCAGGAAGATTGCTAAAGGGCCGTATCGGGCAAGATCATTACTGCCTGCGGGAGACGGGCTGTAAGCTGCTGTTCTTGAATGGTGTGACATCCACTTTGACACTGAAGTGAGGGACAGCTGAAGGAGCAGAGGCAAGAGGGTAATTCCTGGGGCCAAGGACTAAGTGCGTTTCAAAACGGCAACAGAAAGGCATCTGAAACGCTGCTGAGCTGTCCAGGACTCTGGCTCTCTCTCCACTTGGTAACCTAGTTTAGTGATACTCTTGTAACTGTCATCTCTGGAGCTTGAACCTGGAACCTTTGGGCTTAAATTTCAGTGCACTCAGTCGTTTCTGAAATAAAGGTGCAGTCCTCTGAAAGCAGGAGAAATCATGTAAGTCTGCATCCACAGAAAATAGCCAGGCTGGTTTACGGGGATTTTATGCTTGATGTCCAGCAGCGTGATGTAAGGACTGAGGAGGAGAGCGCAGCGTTCCCCTGCCTGCTAGCGGCACCTCCTTTTGCTTTATCCCAGGTCCGGCTGCCCCTGCCTCCACGTACGGGGTGTGCAACTACCACATGCTGAGGCAGGAGCACAGGCTGGCTGTTGGGTTTATGCCTCTAAAGGGGTCAGCGCGCCACCTACATTGTGGTCTCAGCCTGGAAATACTTGCTTCCTACAAGTGATCGCTATTTTGTGGCAGAAGAGAGCGGCTGGGCAGAGCAGATGCTGTGGGAGGTGCATTTGCAGTGCCACCGCTGCTGCCGTAATTCTGCATCGAAGGGTGGTGAAGTGGTTTTGTGAAGAAAATGAGTGGAAAATGTGAAGCGATGAGCGTGTTAGAAAGGATAGTAAGGAAAAGAAATACATATGTGCTCTGACTTGCCACTTGGAAACACCCAGGGGTTCTCCATTGCCGCAGATTTTTGTACAGACGGCATTTTAGCAGCAGTAAAGACCCTCACCTGGTGAAAGAGAAATCCGTTGTCTTCTTCAGCAAGGCAGAGTCAAGCTGTGAGCTCTCTGGGAGAGAGACCATCTCGTGTTTCATGTCTGTATAGTGCCTGCCAGTGATACCCTGGCCCAAAGTGTTACAGAACCACCCAGTAATAATGGATTTGTCCTGTCCCAAGGCCTTTCCCAGCATTTAAAGCAGGTGCAGATTTAGAGGCCAGTTGGCAAATGAATGGAAATTTGTAGGAGATTTGATTGTGTCTGATGCCCCCTGGAAGCAGGGACTGAGTTGATACTTGCCAGGATGTACGTCCTGAAGTCTGATTGTGTTAATAGGGTATCCATTTATACATATAGTTCAGCTGTTGGACTCCAGTATCAACAGAGAAACTATGTTATCAAAGGCAGAACTAAGAGAAAGAAAAAGTGCTCATGAAAAAAAAGAAAGTCTAAATGATTATTTGAAAGAAAAACTTAACTTCCAAAACAATAGTGTTTTTAAATGATGCATCTAACTGCAATCAGCTACAATATTCAACCAAATGTAGACAAGACTGTTATACCTGTTATACCCAGACATTACTGATGTAAGTTACATACAGCAAAAAAATTTAAAATCTACATTTGAACTCAAGTAGGCTTACAAATGAGAACTATTTAAAGTGAACTTAAGTGGTAAGAGCTTTGGAAGGAAATCTGGTAATGCACACTTAACTCTCCTATTTTAAACAGATTCAGGCACAAAGGATGAAACTCAGATGCTACATGAATGGTTTGAGCTGGTCCTGGAGAAGAATAAATTAATGCGTTACGAGTCTGAGCTCCTGATTATGTACGTAAGGACAAGCATTAGTGCTGACGATGGGGAGGGAACAGGGGAAAAGTGTACTCATGTTACACCTGAACGCCTTACTGCGAGCTGCAGTTTGAGACTGCCGTGGAATAAACATACCCAGAGTAGCTACAATCTGGTTTGAACACAGATTTCCAGTTGTCCTTCTCTCTCACAGTGATTCAATCACTTCAATCTTATACAATGCTCTAAGCCAGTTTAGCATATAGATGCTCTGCCTTTATATGATGCGGGTCTAATGAACACTGAGGCACTTTGTCCTGTGGAAGAAAAACAGTCTGACAAGTTTATCTCAGATTTTATTGGACATAGGAGAAAAGATCTAGGAATTCACTACAGCGATGAAACAAGCAGATACGCCAAGCAAATAAAAACTGTCTTGGATGCCACTGTTTGTGGTTGATGGAAACAATATTGGCTGTAGCTCCCTCACCTCACCTCCTTGGAAATGCGCTCAGCAGATAGGCGGAGGTGACTCTCGGCTATTTTCCCCACTATTTCTGGGCAATGTGGGAAGGCGATGAGAGCTGCAGCAGTCATTACTCACCCCTGGATTTCACACCAGTGCAGGCTGCTCGGTGCCATTTATCATTTCCATATCGCTCAGTCAGCCCCCAGCGCTGCGTGCAGACCTGCAGCCCAGCCACTAGCTCCAGCCACAACCCAATTTCTCCCCAGCTGCGCTGATCCCATCAGGGGCCAAACCTTTTCTTTCCCCTCCGATCACCATTGGATGTTGTAGTAGCAATGCTTCCTGCTCACACTGTCTGCAAAGCAGAGTTAAAAAAACAAAACCAGGCTGCTTTTATCACTGCAGGACACAAAATGCTGTTGTCTGGATGTGTTCACATGGATTAACTCCCTTGCCTCAGGGACCTGCTCCTGTGCAGAGGGCCTGGCAGGGTCCTTCGTGTGTGAGAGCATCCAGTCCTGTCCAGAATTCCATTGTGGGTGCCCCAAACAAAGCACAGCTGGTTAAAGCCTGAAGTGTTGCGATGTGAGAGGGAGCTTAATGTGATACTTAATGTAAAAGGTGGCAGCGGTACTTCTGGCTTTGCAGTGGCAACGTAGGCACAGGTAAAGCTTTTAGCCTTGACAACCCGTGAGGAGAAAATACCGGATAAACAGAATGCAGAATCTCTTGGTTGAAATAATATTAACATATATGTCTTTGTTGAAAAAACTTGTTCTTTAATGTACTTTTTATTGTATGCAGAGCCCAAGAGTTAGAACTGGAGGATCACCAAAGCAGGTTGGAACAAAAGCTGAGAGAGAAAATGGCCATTGATGGTAAGTCAAAGGGGAGAGTACGCTGCAGACTATGCCCATACGAGTCCCTGCTTGCTCCAAAAAGGACCAGAGTGGCTGAGGCTCTTCCTCCTGTGCTCTTCTGTGAGTGCAGTTCAGCCAGCAAAATGCAACTTGAGATCTTCTCATCCGACTTCCAGTGAAGACAGCTAGGCTAACCTGCCCAGTCTTACACTGAACATAACTCAGAAGGATTCCACGTGTAATTCCACTAATTGTGTTGTGCAGGCAGGAACATCCAGCTAACATGTGATGATGGGCAGCAATGGAAAGTAATTTCTTCAACCACCTAAACACAAAAGATGTTATCTGCTTTTATGATAACTGTAGCATTACTGGTTACTGCAGTATTTTGGAACTGCTTTTAGGTTCTTGGGATTACGGTTTGGGCTTGTCCTTTCATTTGGTATTAGAAAAGAGAGCATGGGGAGGAGGCATGCAGGGAGAAGGGGGGTTACATAGCACTGAATACCCCACAATATCCTGTTGTGTTCTAAGCATGTGGATTGTAAGAGGCAGCAGTTTTCAATACATTTCCTGAAAAACACTTTCCATTTTCTTATAGGTACGGCATTTCATAGTTGGGCTTTTTACCTAGTATAAACTAAACTTAAACTCTACTTAAATGTTTTAATAAACAAATAGTGTTTTTCTTGTTCAGTCTAAGTTTTGCTAAAAGATCTACTCAAGACATCAGAGGCCTTAATGATCAATCCTAAATGGCCCAAATGCAGGAGGAATTTTCCCTGAACTGTAACAAGAAAAATATTAACTGCTATTGACTTCATTTGTCACTGACTACAATATTAATACAAGCTGTACAGCAACAGTTAAAAGGCAAAGTGTAACAACAGTGTGATCTGGATTTTAACCTCTTGTTTTGTGATCTCTTAGACAGCCTTAAAGATGAGACGGATCTGAATGAGGAGGATGAAATTTTTACTGAGATGATGAAAGTGGTTGAAGAAAGGGACAAACTCGTGTCTACCTTAGAGGAGCAGAGAGTGAAAGAAAAAGCAGAAGACCAGCACTTTGAAAGCATTATGTTATCTAGAGGCTATCAGCTGAGCAGGATTTAAACAGCCACATGCAAATAAACATGATTTCAGCAATATTTGTAATCATGGACATACAATCTTCTGAAAAAGGAAGGAATTCAAATTTAAAATCAACATATTTGGGAAACGTCATTTTGTTATCAACAGCTCTTAAGCAGTTCTTTTGCTCGTACCGGAGTCATTTCACTACCAGCTTAAAGGATCACTGGAATACAGAATAGGACTGAATTTACCTGTCTGATGAGCATCAGGGTCTGTGAAAGTGAAATTAGAGCTCTGTTATTTTCTTGGAATTTTATTTTAACGCTGAGAATAGTGTTCCTGAGAAACATGATGACATCATTTAGTATTTTTGAGACAGCATTACTTTCCATCTGTTTGAATCTGTTTCTGGTTTTGTTAATATTTTGGCACAGCCAACCCATGGTGAACTATGTAAAGGTCAGAAACCAAGCATCTCATATAAAAATGAGGTTAGTTTTTATTTCTGGTGGAGGAAGGGTTGTTTGACTAATAACTATGTGTAAGCACTCATTAAAATTACTGTAAATGCAATGTCAGAAATTAATTTTCCAGTATTTTTACATTTTAGTGCACTGTATTTTTGAATAAGAAGAGCAATATTAAATCCCTACATTTTGTAAAATGGTAAGGGACTATCAAGAAGTGACTACCCTTAAGACTGTTACATGCTCAAAAAAGCTTTTGTGTGTCAAAGATTAAGGTCTTCTCTAAAATATGCTAAATTATGATTTTTAAATAGTAATCCAGACTAACTGCTTTACAATTGCTTGATAAAATACATCACAAATAGTATCATAGTGTGTGATGAGTGGTATAGCAGTTAAAGATCTCCCTGAGAATAATTCCTCAAAAAGGTTGCAAAAAATGTTGAGTTTGTAATGTCAACGTTTGATAGAAAATGTTGTGTATATTTAAACTACATTTATCTTGCTGCTCAGGAATATATACATGCATATTTTTTGCTTAAAGGAACTATGTCCTATCTTTTTTTGCACATTCATTTGTAGATATTGGCAAAGCAGATGTGCAAAAATTCTCCTAAGTATTCAATGTGGTTTAAGTACTTATTTAAATCTGAGATAATTCTGCAATTCAAGATTGGTGGTATTCCCAACTGTACGTATGATGCACTACATTTTCAAATTCAAAAAAAACCAAGGAGAATCTGAAAGACTCTTTCTTTCTGAATATTGTTTTACCTCGTGCTCTGAGAAGATTTGATGTTCTCATTGTTTCATGAATGGTGCTAATTTGCAGCAGTTGCCTATGGTACAGCCAAAGCTAGAAGTATTCCTGTTACAAAAGCTTTAAACTAAAAAACCTCTTGGTAAGTATTTATAGGGTAACAAGCACATTGGATCCTGTCACAGTAATTTATGAATGATCTTAAGTTTTTGCTGTATTGTAAGAAAATTAAAATACTCTCTCTAAAGATAAAACCAAAATTTTACTATTGACCATAGATAGATAATATACCTCTATTGCTGCAAGGAATATACTATTGTTCTGCAATATTTATGTATTTATATTTATTTATTAGACTGTTTAAAGAGGATAAGAGTGTCTGGTTACATTCAAGAGTTTGGATGCTGTCTCTGATAAATGTGTATTTCTAACAGCTATGTATAGGTGAAGCTGAGCATAGTAGATAGCTTTATTGATTTGGTAAATAATTAGTAATAAAATATGAAATAAGATTTTTAAACAACACTCTTGGTTACCGTTACTTGAGGGGCTACCCTTAAAACATAGCATGTAGGGCTTTAACAATATAATTTGTCTTTCATCGTAGTGGAAAGACATAGCAGAATCCTTGAATGTGTTCCAGAATTACCATCAGACTTTTTTTCTTTCTGTCATTCATAGTCTAAGCATGCCTGATCTTCAGATTACATTTTTATTGAGATGGATTGCAGTGATTGATTGATCTCTTAAACTAACTCTATTACCTAAGATTGACACAAAGTAGGAGCAGGCAGGGCAGCAATAAATTTTTTAATTTTCTCAGTTGAGATCTGCTGGTATTTCCAGTTTTGCGGAGAAAATTTTTGGATTTTATCACTGTTCCCAGAAGCCTTATGTAATCCCTTAGAACAAGACTGTCCAGAACATCTATCACAGTTTTCCATAGAAAACTGAGAGTCATAATGCTTTCAAGGTATTTTTTAAAAAAGTTTTAAAGCAAACTTCTTAGTCCTTTGCACAAGAGGGGAATTCGGCAGAAACCTCCAGTTATATCAGTCAAAGATTGTTTTTTTTCACCTCACTTTTACAATCTAAAAAGTCCATTCTCCTTAGTGTTGCTGCCGAACAAAGAGGAAGAGAAAGGGTAGCCTCAGAGAAACATGATGCTCCTAGTCTTGAGGAGGAGATTGCTCTCCTCTTCCAAAGTCTGACCCACTTGCCCAGGGGAGGTGCACACATGGCGATCGGTCAGATTCAGGCTGCTCTGAGATGTATATAAGCCCTGAGATTTCAGTTTACAGCAGATACCTGTTCGGCTGTAAAATCAAATATGAAAGGGTGCTTTCCTTTTAGCTCCAAAGATTTGAGTTCTTGAGAGTATCTGAGTCAACAGAAGCTGAGGGCCATCAGCATTGTAAGGCCCTCAAAAATACTCTTTGCTAAAATGATACTTTTCAGGATGCCATGTGGTCATAACATATGCTCCACCCAAAACTGTGTGTCTGCTCTTGCATGGAAAAACCTGTCAGGCTACTCTTACCTTGCCTGTTATTAAGTACCTCATAAGATTCGATCCAAAAATGAACTGTGCAAGTGATTTAGAAAAGTAATAGACTCCTAAGTCATTTAAAGCAGGTCTTCATATATCGCAAGAGTGGAGGAGGAGGGGAAAAAAAAAAAAAGAGTAACTACGTGCACTGTTCACAGGTCAATTTAATATGGTTGGCTTGTATTAGAAATGAATTTCAACACTGGTTTGGTTATGAGACTTCTTGCTGCTCAATTTTTCTGTAAATTGACTCACTAACTTATAATAGACTTGTTCATTTTTAAGTCCATGGCGCTGTCATTGTTGGGTATAATGTCCTGTGCTGGAACATATTGACTATGTCTAAATGGACTAGATGTAAGCAATTTTCTATTTGAAAAAATAAAATTATATCTCACTCTCTGAAGTCCCTGAATCATTTCCATAGTAATTTCTCTCCACCTATATCTACAATGTAATAATACGTGTTTAGGTATAGGTAAGAAATTATATCAGTTTCTTAATTCGTATACTGGTAAGTAAATGACACCATCTTGCAGTTCAGTTTCATTTTATAGCTTAGGAATAATGACACCCTGAAGTTAGAAGGCAGTTGACTCTACCTTTAACACAAGAGGTTGCGAACTCCATGAGATCAACAACTTCCTCATTCTTGCATAGGAATTCACCACCTAATTTCCTTAGGTATGATATACAAATTATAATAGCTCCTTGAAGACTTGAAGGAAAAGTGTCACTATGTGGATCAATAAGAATTGGTGATCAAAACCTTGATTGCCAATTTCCAAGTTCCACTAACTTCACCTCTATCAAGTAATCTCATTTTGTTGCTTTTTACCAGTGGGAGACCCTTACAGAGCAAGACAACCTGCTGGTTGAGATGAGAGAAGTGGATAAGCAAGATTTGGGCTTATGTTAGTGCCTGCACCGTTGTCCCCTTCTCAATGACTGTGAACTGATTAATAGTTCTCTTCAGAGGATAGATGGACAGCTGCTTCTCTTCAGAGGTCAAGGTAATTTGGGGCATATTTGATCTGAGGTTTTTCTTCTACTATTATGTCCTTTCCCTTCCATCTTGTGTGCCTCAGAGGCAGATGGGTGTGGTGGTGACTCCTCCGATAATACCACACATCAGTTCTCAGGAACTGCACAGGAATTAATTGCCTGCTGGGTTTATTGGTAGTACTTAGGTCAGACTGGCAGACTTGGCTGGCCCAGGAGCAGGGTGTGGGTAGAAATGCCAGCAATTTACTGAGACTCCTCTCCTCCTGTTCACAACACACACACACCCATCCCCTCTTCAAAAGATTATAGGTCTAAAGAAACTCAATTCAACAAGAAGTTCAGGAAAGGGATTTTCTAAGCCATTATTTGACTCAAGATCAATCCATTTGCCCCCAAGGTAAAGGAATGCCTCACTGATTTTTAGGGTATTAGGCCAGGTTTCTCTGGGCACAGGCAACAACCTTAGAGATCTTATGTTTTGAAACCTCTGCTTTTTAGCCCAATGCATATCTGATTTCAACTAAGAATTTCTCTTTAGTTTAGTAGCCTCTTTCCAGAAGGATACACTCTGTTTTCTTTCTTGCTTGACCAAGTAACAGGATGCGGCTTAGCAAATTGGAGATTCTGTATATCTTTTAAGATTTTGCTGCTGCTAAGATCTAGAGTTGTCCCTGCTTGGTTTTGCACGGACCATGCAGTTTTTGCATAGTTTAGCATGACGGGTTTGCCATGTTAGCATGCAAATACTGTCCCTGCAGTCTTACAGAGTCTGAATTCACGTGCAGCAAGGTCCTTTGGGATGTATAAAATTTCTTGTATGGATATGGGATAAGAGATGTGGATGTACAAATGCCAGCCAGGTGTGGCTGTGCTTTGGTCTGTTCCCTGCACTGCCTCTTCCTGCAGCGCACAGAGGTGGCTGCTGCCAGCCATCACGTGAAGAGGAGTGGGTCTTCCTGGTGAAATTCAGAAAAGCTTTCCTGCAGGACAAAGCTGGATGCAGCTCATGCTTCCCATGCTCCTGGGGTGCCATCGTTGGCCATGGCCTTACCTTACCGGAGGAGCAGGTCCCTGGCGTGTCTTGCTCATGGACACATGCAGAAGCACCAGGTCCTGCCAGACCTGTTATCCCCAAGTATTTTGGGGCACTCTCAGGAAAATCTCAGTCAAGGAATAGACATTAAACATCCACAAAGTAACCTGTGTGGAAATGCCTTTTTTCTAAGCAGGTTCTTTTAATGTGCTGTTAACTACTACT